GGGCGGGTGGCCACAGGCAGGGGGATGGAGAAGTGGGAGCAAGTGGTTGCTGACAAGGTGGTGGGGGGCGGGTCTGGGGACTTAGGTCAATGCCACTGCCAGTGTTCCCTGTAAGCTGAGCACTAGGGCAGAGAGTCAAATGAGAGTCATCTGGGAGAGAGTCAAATGAGCCCAGCTGATTGGCAGAGGGTCCAGAGCTGGCAGCATGTGTTTCTACTGGTGGTGCACATGCCTCCGTGCATATAACAAAATTTATTCTGCACATGAATGGAGAAAGAGGGACCATTGAACGGCCTCTGCATTTTGCGCAGCACTGCTGCTTCGGAGAAAGAGGGACCATTGAACCGCCTCTGCATTTTGCGCAGCACTGCTGCTTTGAAGTATCCCCCTCTTCCACCTCTATCCCATCAGCGCTACCACCTTGCCCATGAGGCATCTGGTGTCACTGCTGCAGAACTGCAAGGGTAAGACATGCCCTTAGACACCGAAGCCCTAATTTGTGGTGATGTTTTAAACCCCATTGTGAGCACAAGCTCAAGAGTCGCATTTTTTGACAGTTCGTAGCACGGGGGCTTGTGAGTGTAGTGCTCTTCCATTGGCCATTAGCCTGCTCACACAGAGCACAACGTTGGCATTCAAAAAGAACTTCAGAATCTCTCCTATTCAATAAATGCTCCCAGGTCAGGCTGTGCAAGGCATCGTTACAAGGTCTAAGAAGCACAGCCCAGTTATTGGTCTAATGACCCGTCGGTACCGATGTGTGTACAGACAGTAACGTGCTTTTCTTCTTCAAATAGAACCACTTCAGCACAGCATCTGGTCTCTGTGCATCCTAGAAACTAACCACAATCCTGGAGGTTGAAGAAGCACTGGGAGTAACCTAAACCTCATGCCCTTTGTCCCGGAAGGTAGTCAAGAAGGAACACCAACATAAAGTTTGCCCAATACGCTTTCAGTTGCCACCAAAGAGACTCGCTCCTGAAGAACATCATTTAACTATTCATCTTATAGTTTGGCGTAGCTCCAGTGAGCTCAGTAGAACTACTCTGAACACTGAAGTAAATTGCCCAGGGAGGTTGTGGAATCTCCCATCACTGGAGATATTGAAGAGCAGGTTGGATAGACATCTATCAGGGATGGGCTAGACCGTGCTTGGTCCTGCTGTGAGAGCAGGGGCCTGGACATGAAGACCTCTCAAGGTACCTTCCAGTTCCAGTATTCTATGATTCTATGATATCCTTACTGAAGATTTGGCAACCTAGTCATTACTCCCTTCAAATCTGTCTTCCAGGCTACGTCCCTTGTCACACTCAAATCCCTTTCCCAAAAAAGCCCTCGCCATAACAAACACTTCTGCTCTCTGACTCTTGAAAAGCGAGACTGCTTGAAGGGCGAGATAAGAAACTAAAGCCAAGGTAAGAAACCCATGAAGCTGGCATGTAGCAGCTAAACAGCTTTGTGAGATTGGTCACCTTTGTGCTTGCTCTTCTCTGCTAGCCACCCTGGTTTTTTTTAATGGTTTACACCACCAGAAGTGCTGTATGTTACGGTTAATATGTATACTTAACTAGAAGACTTACCCAGTGTTGCCCAGGTCATGGGACCCTTGGGTGGGCAGGACGCATGGCATTGTGGGTGGCTGCTCCGTGGGGGCAGTCCAAGGTGTCAGGAGCCGTGCTGCTGGACAGTGGCTGCCCCCCGGTGGTCATTCAGGAGTATGACTGTCACTTCTATCACACCCCTCCCTTTCCATTTGATGCGAAACAATCATATTCCATGCACATCCCATTGTCCTGGTACAACCAAACCCTGGGAGCGGCTACACTTGCCAATGACTTTTTGCAGTAAAATTCAACACGTTTCACTACAGAAAAGAAAACTGCCTCCACAAGAGGCGCACAGCTCAAACCGGTCATGTTTTTGCAGTGATGTGCAAGTTAAGACATGTACTTGTTTATATAACTTTTAGCCTCTGCCTAGGAGGTGACATCAGTGTTCAACTCCACCCTCTGATGTTGGCCTCACTCTCATTCTACCTCTTCCCCCAAGCCCCGCCTCCTCCCCAAGCACACCGCCTCACTCTCATTCTACCTCCTTCCCAAGCACACCTTGTCCCTGCTCCTCTCCTCCCTTCTGGATCTTCCTGAACACTGTGAATCAGCTCTTCGTGGGGCTCTGGAAGTGGGGCCCACAAGCAGGCAAGAGGCATGGGAGTGGGCAGGGAGGCAGAAGCGGGGAACTTGGCTGCTGGTGGGTTATCACCCATTAAGTTTTCCCTGTGGGTGCTCCAGACCTGCTTCTCAGGTCAGGTGACAATGACTGCCTAGAGAGCAAATGATCCTCTGCTTCGAGCAATGCTGAGCTACTGGAGCTGATCAGTATTTGGGGAGCGGAGGCTGTGCCAGGAGTCAATATACCCTGCAATCAGCCCCTCCCTTCCCACAAAACATTGTCAAAATGGAGAAAGCTGCCCTGAGAAGTGATGGAAGTGCTGCAAATGTCAACACTTTCAGATGCCTATGGAAGTCCGTGAGTACACAAAGCAGTGCTTTTCTTTCACCGATTCACTTATCACCAGTGAAACTGACTCAGCAAGTGTAGACATCGCCTTCAAGTTGGAGCGTTCCAGGAGAAGAATTCTCTGTCAATGGGCTGGTACAGCACCCAGTATAAGGGACTGCTGGGTCTTCTGGGCAGCACTCTAATCAAATGTATTATTTGCAAAATACTCAGCTCTTTCAGCACCAAAAGGTGCTATATTTGCCCATGACGCATCTGGTGTCACTGCTGCAGAACTGCAAGGGTAAGACATGCCCTTAGACACCGAAGCCCTAATTTGTGGTGATGTTTTAAACCCCATTGTGAGCACAAGCTCAAGAGTCGCATTTTTTGACAGTTCGTAGCACGGGGGCTTGTGAGTGTAGTGCTCTTCCATTGGCCATTAGCCTGCTCACACAGAGCACAACGTTGGCATTCAAAAAGAACTTCAGAATCTCTCCTGTTCAGTAAATGCTCCCAGGTCAGGCTGTGCAAGGCATCGTTACAAGGTCTAAGAAGCACAGCCCAGTTATTGGTCTAATGACCCGTCGGTACCGATGTGTGTACAGACAGTAACGTGCTTTTCTTCTTCAAATAGAACCACTTCAGCACAGCATCCGGTCTCTGTGCATCCTAGAAACTAACCACAATCCTGGAGGTTGAAGAAGCACTTTGAAGTGTGAGTGTGGGGTGGGGAGTGTACACTGAGGTAGGTGTTCATTGTCATGGTGTCTGATTGCCACTTGTGAGTATTGGTTAAAGTGTGTTCTATGCCAGTGTAGAGTCAAGGCGATAACAGACTAAAACAAGTAGGGCTTGTCAAATATTTGCCACAGAATTGGGTTTTCAGCTATGCAAAGATTATTATTATTATTATTTTTAATAAAAGCTCAAACTTTTTGGCTCTTCTGATGCAGGGTCAACATTTCTGTGGAAAACTCTGATTAACTTTTTTCCCTTGTTACTGAATTTTTTTCTGCAGAAAAGAAATCTATTTTCCAGCTGGTTTTAGAGATGTAAAAATCACAGAAGTGAGACTAAATGGGATCCAGATACATGATGTGTCTTGTATCCAAACCACATCATTCTGAATTAAATATTGGCCAGTTATTTATAAGCCCCCTCATATGGATCAGAAAGCTCCCCAGTTAAGGATGGGATGGAGAGACCCTTTTACACGATTAGATGCCATTTCAAATGTCTGATCCGACTCTGTTGTTTGCCTCCCTCTTTTCATGACGGGAGTAACCTAAACCTCATGCCCTTTGTCCCGGAAGGTAGTCAAGAAGGAACACCAACATAAAGTTTGCCCAATACGCTTTCAGTTGCCACCAAAGAGACTCGCTCCTGAAGAACATCATTTAACTATTCATCTTATAGTTTGGCGTAGCTCCAGTGAGCTCAGTAGAACTACTCTGAACACTGAAGTAAATTGCCCAGGGAGGTTGTGGAATCTCCCATCACTGGAGATATTGAAGAGCAGGTTGGATAGACATCTATCAGGGATGGGCTAGACCGTGCTTGGTCCTGCTGTGAGAGCAGGGGCCTGGACATGAAGACCTCTCAAGGTACCTTCCAGTTCCAGTATTCTATGATTCTATGATATCCTTACTGAAGATTTGGCAACCTAGTCATTACTCCCTTCAAATCTGTCTTCCAGGCTACGTCCCTTGTCACACTCAAATCCCTTTCCCAAAAAAGCCCTCGCCATAACAAACACTTCTGCTCTCTGACTCTTGAAAAGCGAGACTGCTTGAAGGGCGAGATAAGAAACTAAAGCCAAGGTAAGAAACCCATGAAGCTGGCATGTAGCAGCTAAACAGCTTTGTGAGATTGGTCACCTTTGTGCTTGCTCTTCTCTGCTAGCCACCCTGGTTTTTTTTAATGGTTTACACCACCAGAAGTGCTGTATGTTACGGTTAATATGTATACTTAACTAGAAGACTTACCCAGTGTTGCCCAGGTCATGGGACCCTTGGGTGGGCAGGACGCATGGCATTGTGGGTGGCTGCTCCGTGGGGGCAGTCCAAGGTGTCAGGAGCCGTGCTGCTGGACAGTGGCTGCCCCCCGGTGGTCATTCAGGAGTATGACTGTCACTTCTATCACACCCCTCCCTTTCCATTTGATGCGAAACAATCATATTCCATGCACATCCCATTGTCCTGGTACAACCAAACCCTGGGAGCGGCTACACTTGCCAATGACTTTTTGCAGTAAAATTCAACACGTTTCACTACAGAAAAGAAAACTGCCTCCACAAGAGGCGCACAGCTCAAACCGGTCATGTTTTTGCAGTGATGTGCAAGTTAAGACACGTACTTGTTTATATAACTTTTAGCCTCTGCCTAGGAGGTGACATCAATGTTCAACTCCACCCTCTGATGTTGGCCTCACTCTCATTCTACCTCTTCCCCCAAGCCCCGCCTCCTCCCCAAGCACACCGCCTCACTCTCATTCTACCTCCTTCCCAAGCACACCTTGTCCCTGCTCCTCTCCTCCCTTCTGGAACTTCCTGAACACTGTGAATCAGCTCTTCGTGGGGCTCTGGAAGTGGGGCCCACAAGCAGGCAAGAGGCATGGGAGTGGGCAGGGAGGCAGAAGCGGGGAACTTGGCTGCTGGTGGGTTATCACCCATTAAGTTTTCCCTGTGGGTGCTCCAGACCTGCTTCTCAGGTCAGGTGACAATGACTGCCTAGAGAGCAAATGATCCTCTGCTTCGAGCAATGCTGAGCTACTGGAGCTGATCAGTATTTGGGGAGCGGAGGCTGTGCCAGGAGTCAATATACCCTGCAATCAGCCCCTCCCTTCCCACAAAACATTGTCAAAATGGAGAAAGCTGCCCTGAGAAGTGATGGAAGTGCTGCAAATGTCAACACTTTCAGATGCCTATGGAAGTCCGTGAGTACACAAAGCAGTGCTTTTCTTTCACCGATTCACTATCACCAGTGAAACTGACTCAGCAAGTGTAGACATCGCCTTCAAGTTGGAGCGTTCCAGGAGAAGAATTCTCTGTCAATGGGCTGGTACAGCACCCAGTATAAGGGACTGCTGGGTCTTCTGGGCAGCACTCTAATCAAATGTATTATTTGCAAAATACTCAGCTCTTTCAGCACCAAAAGGTGCTATATGAAGCGTAACATCTTCAATCAACATGGAAATCTTGCATCCCAAATGAACCGCAAGTCTCACATAAAAACACACAATTCTAGAACTTTTGTTTTATCCAGAGCAGAGATTTATTCACTGAAAAGAATCCTAAATATTCAGAATTTCATTAGCGTAGAGTGCACTTTTTTTTTTTGCCGGTTGCATAAACTAATACAGAACCTTTTGTTAATACTAACAAGTTTAATTAAATTAATAGCAATTCTGGAAGACAAACTCAGTTGATAGAAAATATAAAAAAAAATTTTACTGTACAAAGTTTACATCACATTTGAAAAGAAAATATGTCAATTTCCACCATATTACAGACTCCATTTACATACGCTACTGAAGTCCTTGCTAGTGTAGCAGTACTGTACAGCAAGCTTCACATTTACAAGGCTAAAATGATACAGACTTGCAGTGCTAGTCACTCCCTTACACCACCACAAGAAGAAATAGCACAAAACAATCATAGAACAACGCAGCGTAGAGACCTGGTTCCGTTAGCAACACGTGTTAAGGAATAAATGGGCCAGTTTCTTCCCCCCACCCTCCCCACATGAATTGAGTGACTTCCCATTTTCACCAGCCATCAGACCCAAAGACGCTATCCACTGCCCAGCCTCTTGCCAGCTCTTCTTTAAAAGAACAAGACAACTTGTTAGACCCAAGAGATCAGACAGTTAAAAGAATAACTGCAGGATTCTAACATCTTAATTCACATCAGGCCAGGTCATAAGCTAGTGTAAATCAGTGGCCCTCTACTGACCTCAAACACACATCTGCTGAAGCAGGTGTTCAACACAGTCTATATACAGCCAGGTGCTACTGGATGTGGGTAAGTGTATCCGAATCTCTCCCTAACCTGTGTTGGAATATAAAGAGCCATATATTGGGACCACTGTGCCCTTCCCATTGAAATATGTCCAGCAGTTCTACTTAAAAAGGGGTGGGCAACACGGCCCTGTGTTTCTGTGAAGGTTACTACATATGTGCAAATAAATCATGGGCAGCAGATCTCCAACTGTGCTAATGGGGCGGACTCTCCTAGCTAAGTTTTATTCAAGGATAGCTAAGAATGCATCACTTGCCCACCATTACTCTTACATGTTGCCACAGGAAGGCTAGCTGCTAATGAACGGGGGAGGAGAGAATGGATAACTCAACTGTGAAGGCAAGAAGTCAGTGGTTTGCAAGATGGGGACTAAAAGGAGGACAAACCCTGAAGATAATCACAATACCCAGGTGTGTCTTACACTCTGGAGACCCCTTACTGGAGGGGCCTTTTGTACCCACACAAACTTGCAGAAACTAATTGCTAGGAGTACATTAAGGCTGCAGCCAGTGCCAGGTGTTCAAACCAGAGTCATGTTCTTCAGTTACATGAAGGACTAAATTCAGAACACTGGAACAAAAACAGAACAACTTTAAATCACCAGAGCCTTACTGAGCCAAAAACACTTTCTGAAGCTAATAGAGGTTTTGTCTAATAAGTCTTAACATTTGTTTTTATTTATTTATGTCATTTATACATACACAGACAAATAATTTCCCCTTCATCTTAACCCATCTTGGGCCATCAATATTTCTTTAATGAAACTGAATTCTACTCATCACTAATGGATACAACTCAGACTAGCTTTGGAGAGAAGAGCAAATATTAGTTTTTTTTGTTTTAATTAGCAAAGCCATGTGGTGCAAATAGCTTGCCACAAATAGAGTTACACTCAAGGGGTTTTATTTATTTAAAATAAAGCTATCGTGGGATCAGTACGTACCACACTGCCACAGTTGGGAATTATCACATCAACCCGTTTACATTCAAGACACACATTAAAAACACTTGACCACAGTATGCGCTGATTTAGCATCTACTCGTTATTACATTGTCTTGAATGTGGAATTTAGGAATCTCTGAGGGGTAGCTGTGTCAGTCTGTAACTTAAAACCCCCCCAAAAAACTTAAAACAAGTGGTCTTGTAGCATCTAAAGGAGCATCTAGTCAGCACCTTTCTGTTGGAATAAGCTATGCAATTGCATAGCTTATTCTGAGTCCAAATTGAAAGAGCTTATTTTGAAATGTGGTGTTGTCTACACAGTGCCACATTTTAAAGTAAGGCACTATTCCGACAAATCCTTTAACCCTCTTGAAACGAGTGTTACAGGGATGCCAGAATAGCACACTGCTATTTCAGGAAATAGAGAGTGCGTTTAAAGACATGGCATTGCTATTTCGGGATACTTCAATGGGACTTCCAGTAACCCAAAATAGTGCTGCAGTGTAGATGTCCCCTTAGAGACTAACAAAAAAACCTTTATGCCACCTTGTTGATTTGGGAAAAACTGGGGGACCAGACTTTACACATGGCCTCTGGAAGCATGGCTCCCCTTTTGCATGTCCTAGAAAAGAAAAACCGGCCATGCCTCCTCCCATTTGAAAACGTCAACTCTACACACTTCCACGCTCCCGTGTTGTCCGCATGCCGTAAGAGGCTGGAAAAGGCGCCCAACAAACGAAGCTGGAACGGATAAGCCAGATCTGTCAGTACTAGAGAGGCCTGCTCCAATGCAGCTGTTGAGGGCTTCCAACAGAACTGACTGACTGGACTGGCCACTGGGGTTTGGCTGGTCTGTCATGAGAATATGAATGGGGTGGGGAAGGCTCTGAAACAGAACTGCCACACGCATTTGAGTGTCTAATCCTGACCCACTGAACATCAGCAAACCACCTGAACTTCAACGGGACTAGATTTGCCCCTAAGGGTTGTATTTCCCTAAAGCATCCACATCCAGGCAGTTTTACATCTGGGGTCATGTACCAAGAGTAGCAGCTTTCTGAGGATTTCACACTCGTTATACCTGTAATGGGCTGGAGGGGAGCGCTCGATTGGACAGCACCATTGTATCTGCCTGTACCTGCTACATCCTCAGCAAAACCAGACCTTTATTTCAACTGAAGAATTTGCCCAAGGCGCACCCAGGTAACACTGTGCAAGGCATTTTATGTATACATCTAGGATGCAGCAAGCCAGGCTTGCTTCCTACACCTGGCATTCTTTCAAAGGATGCATCTCTCCCCGAGCGTTCCTCTGCCCCCTTCTGAAAGACGGGCACCCTCGGATTGTTAGCAACAAGATAGCTCAAGCTAACTGGGTATCAGATGCCCAAGGAGAATGGTGAAGCAACTGACCACATTAACTCAGACAAGTGGCCTGCTGCAGTAACGCTGCTCAGAGACTTTGCAAGGCAAGAGCACAATAGGAAAGGGAATTACCCCTATTAAAAATTCAAGTCAGGAGCCTGCAAACAGATGTACCTTTTAGGAGTCTCTCACTCCACCCACGGGCTTCAGGGAGGGAGTGCCCCAGCCTAACGGTGCAGAGTGACATCCGTTTGTAGGATCTGGCCTATTTAATTCTGGCAGAGTTAGCCCAGAGAAGCCTGCCAGAAAACCAGCAGTCAAAAGAAATGGGATCTTAGGCCCACACTGTGCCAGGTATTTCAGCACATATCACCCATCAAAGCCAATGGGAATTAGCACCTAAATACTCGGCAGGATCTGGGTCAAACTTCCTCTTCTGGGGGGCTGGAAGGTGCATGGGCCTTGTCACAAAGCGACTGGTGGAGGTGCATTTTTATCTCAAGGTAAAACCCCAGAGAAGACAACACAATTGGCAGGTTTGGGTACAAGCCCTTAGCAAATGGAGTTGAACACAGTCTGTAACTCAGCCAGATAGTGCAAGTGAACTAGTTGGTTGTTTTTTCTCCCACAAGCGATCTACAATATGGCCCCTTTGCTCCCATGCAAAAGTTTGGAAGGTTTTTGCCTCAAAAAACCAACACACAAAACCAACTTGCAGCTAAAAGTCTCCCTGCAACTTTGCACACCAAGCTTTTAGTTCCAAAAGTGGAATGAAACTTTAATAGTGGTTTTGTGCCACTTCCTCGGGCAAGAAGTTTCCCCAACACAAGTGATACCACATAGGCTGCAGGGGGAGGCGTTTGTAGGAACCCAGTGCTGTCTCAGCAGAAATCATTCTGCTGTGGGAAGTGAGTTCTGCCAGGTCTCCAAAGTGTTTCATGCAGGATAAAACTCATGCGCAGAGCCAGCGCCCAGGCCTATGCCCCACTGGGGTCTTCAGAAAAGGGACTTTTGCGCCACAGGCCTTGAACTGACCCTCTGCCTTGTGGTGAAATTTCGTCAGCATGAAGTGGTTTCCTCTACGTGCCCCTTTGATTGGATTGATACTGGCTGAGACACCCTGTTCAGGCCCGCTGATGGGGTGGGAGGAGCAAAGGGCCAACTGTCCTGGGACCCAGTGATTTAAAGGGGCCCTGGGTCCCGGCCCCTGTTACTGTGGCAGCAATGGTGGCTGGAGCCCTGGGCCCTTTAAATTGCTGCCAGAGCACAGGTCCACACAGCTCTGAGGTCTGGGGGTGGAAGGGGGGAGGGGCAGCACCACGATCTGGTAGACTAGCTGCCCCAGCCCTGCTCCTTCTGCCCCCAAGGCTCTGCCTCTTCTGGGGCATATAGCCAGCCCCTTATACCTTGTCTGGGGGCCCTAAG